TGAAACATAAAAATATTATCGAAAATGAAACTATACATTTTTGTGATGAATGCAAATTATTGAGTAATAAATATTTTTGCTGTACTATACTAATCCATTCCAGTTGTAACTTACTTAAAGTTGAAAATTGTACGTTCTTGGCAAAAGGTTCATTTTCAGAAGTAATTCAATTAAAACATGATAACTATTTAGTGAATACTAACAAGAATATTCCAGTATATGAAGATTGTACCAAAGAAAGAAAAGAAATTGATTCCTCTTTTATTATCAGCTTAAACTGTAAAACATTTATTGATCATACTGAGTATTTGAAGATTTCTGATATTTCGAAACCTTTATACATACCTAACATTATGGTGAACTATGATAAGAATATGTTATTTGAAAATACTGATGTAAAAGGTTATTCGGATATACAATTGAATAATGTTTTACTACACGATAAATTAAAAAATTTAGATTTTTCACACAAAACGTCCACGTTTAGCATTGTAACTATTTTATGTATTTTAACATTTGTTGTAATTATACTTTGTTAAAAAAAAACAATTGCTCTCTCTTTTGAAGCAAAAAGAACCAAAAAATCAATCAGTCAAAAATGACATTGAACTTAACCAGATTTTTCCTTTGAACCAGGAGGTTCAATCTTCTTGAAGAGGGAGGAATTACGGCACTGCTATGATGATGATCTAATATGTAGAGTTGCTTAGGTTTGCACTTTTCAATTCCTTTGTTCTAGCGTAGGTTATAAGTAAGAGATGCATGTAAACCAAGGTGACCAGTACTCATTCGTCTTCTGTTAAATAAAGTCGCTTTTTTAAAAAGTCGTTCGTTGTTTGCACATTCTTAATTGGCATGTACCTTCGTCCTCCCAGTTTCACTTACCACAGCCATATTTCTACTCGTATGTCTACCGTGTTTTCTACAATTTACTGCTTACAAGCTGCGATATGCTGGAACGATCGCTAATTTTGGGGTAGATCAATCATTGAAACACATTGTAATATAATAAAGATCTTTCACAAAGTGTTTATAGAAGATTTTTAAATATTTCAATTTTGTCTCTGTAGGATCCGGTCTTTGAAGTGCCTTAATCCACAATTATCGTCGCTTTATACGATGGTCTTTCGCCTTCTGATTCTTCCTCATTCATATCAATACATCAAAAATTTTAAGACTTAAAAATGTAACTATTTACAACACTAATCCAAGAATAAAGACCAGAGATACTAATTTTTATCTAGAAACGCTACAATAATTCTCGGCAATGAAAATTCATACGTTAGGTGATACAACGCATGTACTTTAAGTTCTCAAGTGTAGAAACATATCACGCCTTAAACATGTTTGGTATCTGGGTAGCCAGACCTGACAGACTAACAGACCGACGAGACTTTTAACTAAGATCAAAGATCCACCGGACCGCTCTGACGAATAATGACGAATATTATAGTGTAGAAACACATCACCTGTTTTGGTTATGGTCCGATGCTGACACTTTGCCGTCATGTTTATGTGAAATACAGAAGATTAAAATGGGGTGTCTTTCAATGTGCAAGAACGAGGACGGCGATAAACTACACCATCCTTTAAAAATGTACTTATCAAGACAGTTCATATCAAGTGTTAAAAACGTATTTCTTTAATACGATCCCATAACTATACTAAGTGACATATAAATCCGAATACCCAGTTTAAATGGTTTTATTTCAATAAAATTTTGTATAAGTACTTAATGAAGCGTAATAAGTAAATGATAAAAATTTCAAAATGATTGCACTGCTTTAAAGCCCTTTGACCTTTAATAATGTGTGGATGCACCCTGATGTGCTACGCATTCTCCAACGCGCCTAGGCATGCTTCTGATCAGGTGGTCAATGTCCTCCTGTGGTATCTCATTCCAGGCAACCACCAACTCCTCTCGAAGTGCTTCTAGAGTCTGAGGAGGACGTTGCAAATTGAGCAATCTCCTACCCATCATATCCCACACGTGCTCAATTGGGGATAAGTCGGGAGATCTTGGTGGCCATGGTAACAATGTGACATCATTATGTTGAAAGAAGTCTATTGTGACTCTTGCAACATGTGGTCGGGCATTATCTTGTTGGAAAGTTGGATCTGCCAGGGTGTCAAGATAGGGTAAAAGATGGGGTTCTAGAACTTCGTGGATATAACGCTGCGCGTTCATGTTACCTCTGATGAAGATTAAAGGTGACCTGAAACCATAAGCTATGGCACCCCAAACCATAACTCCAACAGTGTGATGAACATGTCTTTCAACAAAAAACTGTGGATTCCTTCTTTCACCACTCACTGTTCCATTCTTGATCCCAGAGTGACCGTTGTCTGCACCACTCAAGGCGATTACGTCGGTGTTCTCGAGTTAAAGGGAGGACCCAGTGTGACCGGTATGAAAACAAGCCAAAACTTCTCATTCGTCGGTAAACACTTCGCATGCCAATAGGTCTTCCGTGTTCTGCAAACCATTCATTTGCAATGGACCTGGTAGTGGAAAAACGGTCCCTTAAGGCCAATAATCTTAGGCGGCGATCTTCACGGTCTGTTGTTCTACGGCGGCGTCCAGTGCCCATTGCTCTTTGCGTACGGCCTTCTCGAAGCCATGCCTGACAACACCTAACCACAGTGTCTACACTTCTTGGCACTCTAACTGCAATTGCCCGAAAAGAAAGTCCAGCTTCCCGAAGTCCCACTATACGGCCCCTATCAAACTCACTAAGTTGACGAAATCGTGAAGGTCTCCGTACTCTACGCATCGTAACCGATCGTAAAGGATGTCAAGAACCAAAATCCGCCAACGTTGATTCTTTACTGCGGCTGAAATATTCATTTTTAGAGCGTTAGTGAATTAAAATAAAGCAGTATAAAAACCGGAATGTCCAACTGATAGGGCTGAAAATTTTTTTACTTGTTATTTACAGTAAGATAAATACATTCACCAACTTTTATTAAAATAAAACCATTTAAACTGGGTGTTCGGATATATATGTCACTTAGTATACATCCATATATAGAATTTCGACGCTTTTTCGATGTTATTAAATTCGACCTGTACCTTAGTTTAGCAGAACTTCAGAATATTGTTTTTATTCATTTTAATTTTTTTCTCTCCAATAAATGAATGAAATATAGGAGGACGACAACCAATTCCTTGTTTTATTTGTGAAATGATAATAAATAGCCTAAGTACACCTCTTTGCCCCCAATCCTGAACGCCTCTGTTTTTGGCCATCCAAGAAACTGCTGCGTCACTAATTACACAGATCTAATTACTCCCCTCTCTCTTCTCGTTTGGGGAGAGAAATTTAAGAAATTCTTTGCAGTATCGCGTTGAAACAAGTATTTATTTATGGTGAGCCTTTTTAGGACTGAAGATAAATTCCAGGCTCCGATGAGGGGATCTCGAGTGTAAAAATTAGCCATAGTTACGTTACCAAAGGCACTTTGGGATTTTCTGCTGAATAAGGTATCTGATGAAGTTGTTCCGTACTCCCTAGTCATCAGTCCTCGCTATCAAATAACACAAACAATAACAAGTTTTGTAACGATGTTGATGAGTTCGTTTCCAAGCATTCATATCAGCCTATCTACAACGTTATTATAACTCTTCTAAACGGGTAAATCTTTTTTAGCAAAGTCATACGTCTTGGCATGTAGATCCGTCAGATTGTAGTTGTTCTGATGACAAATTCTATCCAGGTATGTGCCTACACATTCCAAGCAATATTGCCAAGATGTAGTCGAAACAGATATATTATGTATGGCCGGTCCACAAATACTACCCGCTCATATGCTCCATAAGGTACACCAAAATTTTAGTCATACTTTCAGTCATAAACTAGACTAAGTTCGAGTGGAGGTAATATAAAGTGTAGTACATTCGTTTTGCCTTAATATGAAGAAAATTGGTTTCGGAGAGAGATATGCTACATTAAGACTAATGCAATAGTTACTTTGGCAATGAAACTTTTTTTAATGCAACAATAAATTAGCTTCAATATTTCTCTTTATCTCCTCTGTAAAAAGTGAGGAGTTTGCTTGAAAATTTGTCTGATCTTTGAATAACTTTGAAGGCTATGGTCATGGGTAATTTGCATTCCAGGAATTAAAATTAAAAGCACATTTGATCTTGAAATAGCATTAATGGTCATAATCAAAGTGATGGACATAATTAAATATAATGTTTCTTTTCTCTTCCATTTCTGGTGTAAAAACTAGGAATTTCTATTTAAGAAAGCTCTCTCGACCTTAAATGAAATGAAAGTGATAGTTAGGGTCACTGTCAACATCATTAGCTGAATCTTTTCAAACCTTACAACTTTATTACACAACATTTCTACTTATGAAGAGTATTTTTGCAATGTTTTGTCATTTCAGAGATCACGGTCAAGATCATGGACAGAGACGTACTTTAACGTAAAACACTTTCGATAGGGTTTTATTTAAGAAAACTGTCCGGATCTTCACATGGCCAAGGAGGTCATAGTTCAGACAGCCAACGGATTAATCTTTTGAACACAGATCTTCGTATTTACATACAGGGTGTTAGTAAAGTATGTAGTCAAACTTTAACCATCGAATACTTGGTCAATTTGAAGACGAAATTTTCATATGAACATAGGTCCGCAACGACTTTGTTTTCAAGATAGAGCATATTAGCACAAAAAGGAATGATGATATTGTTCTAAAAAATTGTAAATGAATGGAACATATTTTGTTTTAATTAGGTATGCCCTGTGGTAAATATCACATGATTTACAGTTGTTTTCAGACAGTCCATGTACGTAGATACGGATAATGTTATCCTGTATTTTCTGAAAAAAAATAGCATGACATTGGTTTGTTTTGATCGCAATGCCTTTAATATTTAAGTATTGTGCTTATCTAGACACCTATGACGAACCCGAAAACAATTGAATTCATTTATCAGCTATCAAATATTTGCTTTCTTGTCTGGTCATTCTAGGTTTCCAGATATTTCTAAGTTTTGGTGATTACTAATTATCGCAATGGTCCAGTTCAGTAATCAAGAAATGATAGTTATGCATTTCGTTTACGTAATGACTCTGGGTAACGCTCGACGAGCACGGCGTTTTTATGGTGATCGATTTCCACAACGCCCACTGCCTAATGTACAAACTTTCATCAACATCCACGCTCGACTATGTGAAGGCAGTCTCAACAGATCCACACATGTTGCAGGAAGACCCGCAAGTGTAAGGACCATCCAAATCGAAGATGATGTGCTTAATAGAATTGAAGAGGACCCTACAACAAGTACACGAAAAATTGCTTACCAGCTTAATTTAAATCATGTAACGGTATGGCAAATTTGGAAATATCAGCAACTTTGTCCATATCATTTACATGTACAAGCTCCTTTGATTTTGAGTTTTGCCTATAACAGTTGATTTCAGCAAAAAAGAAAAAGAAACATTGAATCCAAATTTTTTAAATCGAATACTATTCACAGATGAAGCATGTTTTTCCCGAACAGCAATAGTAAATTTCCATAATAACTACTTCTATACTGGTGTGAAGAAAATGCCCATACCATAATTGAACATAATACGCAACACGACTTTTCCTTCAATATTTGGATTGGAATCGTTAGTGACCACTTGATTGGCCCTCATTCCCTTCCTCCCAGACTTGGAATTTGACCTACCTGGATTGATGGAGGAAATTCCTCTTAGAGAACGAGGTCGTTTGTGGTACATGCATGACGGTGCTCCGGCACACTTCAGTGTCGTTGCGCGAGAATACCTAGAATAATTATGAAAATTGATGGATTGAAAGAGGCGGTCCATAGCAATGGCCGCCTAGATCGCCTGACATGAATTCTATCAATTTTTTTATGACGATATTTGAGGGGAGTTCGTCAGTCAGTGTGTAAACTACCAGACGCCTGTATTGAACTCGAAGGTGGCCACTTTGAACATTTGTTGTAAAAAAAACTATTTGATATTATCTATTGTTGTCATTCTATTCGAACGTCACTGCTTAAAGCTATTGACCTTCTAAATATTTTTTTTCAAAAATACAAGATAATAGATACTATTTTCATCCACTTTCATATTGAGCCTCAGTAACTTATAAAACATTCAAAATTTATCATAGGTAATACGAACTGTTCAATAAATACGTTGCATTATTCATAGAAATATTTGGCTAGCTAGAAAAGAAAGCCGTACGGACCCATGTTCATATGAACATTTAGTCTCCAAATTGTATTGTAAAGTATTTGATTGTTAAATATTCTCTATATATTTTATTAACAGCCTGTATATTTATATAGATGACAAATGGTGATTTAAAAAATCAGGATGGAAGAGGAATGTCAAAGAACAACGCTAATTCAATTAATATCCGCTCCAAAAAATAATTGGACTGCTGTCAAAGATCAAGAGTGTCGAAAAGCGAAGTGTCGGTAGATATTATGACTTTATTTGGATTTCGCTTATAATTCCGTAAACTCTGTATCGACTATCAAAAGCGGCAAAACCTTTCTGTCCTTGGCATGCTAGTAACCATATGTAAAAATTTATTTAGAATTTGAGTTTCTACTTCCTGAGTTATAGAGATACCAGATAGGTCAAAAAGCGATTGAGTTACATTTTCCTTTACCTCCTAGATTATGGTGGAACTTTTATATAAGATTACGAACATGCCAAAAAAGAAAATATGTGAAGTGTAAGTATTGAAAATCGGTCCAGGTGAACCAGAGTTATACTCATATATAAATGCTTCATGAGGCAATAGTTTCAAAGTTCGTTGTGATATGTCACTACCTACATTGCTCTCAGTACAAATTTATAGCGAATAAACTTCATGGTATTATGTGTTTTAGAAGCTTTATTTAAATTGAGTTGCTAGTATGTGTGGGAAAAATCTTTGATCTGGCATTTTGAAACAGTTAACTTTAACCAATTGAGCTCAAGTTTTGCACACACGTTTGGGTTACGAGACGATACAAGATGAATTAACTGCCGCCAATTTGAATCAAAACTTGAAGGCGATTTATCATTTTCATAGTAATCCGTATGACAAGGGTATCAAATGAAAGAGTCTGATGAGGAAACCAATAAGTAAAGTACCATCATTCAAAATTCAATATGGCTGTCGCCCCACAAAACTTACTTAACCTTAGTTTACCACACGTCATTTCCACCTGTCACACCACACTGCTTTCTACAGCCTAGTAACATGTAAAGATCCCTCTCTAAGACCCGTATCGTCAGTCGTCCCTACAATTGTAGGGCGCGTTTATGGCCTTCTTGATTGTCATACTCCTTTCTATCCTTCAAAAACTTCTAGATTGCACCTATTCTGTGTCAGCGTTAGCGCTCTGCTATTGTGAAGATATGTTTTCTTTTTAAATTGTAGGAAACTTCAGGCTGATAAAACATGATATAACGCAAAAGCAAGCTCAATTTGATGAAAATAGATGTTTGTGATATAACCTCAAAATAGAGTTCTAACACGGAGAAGTAGAAAACTATGACAATCAAGGAGGCCATAAAGGCGCCCTACAATTGTAGGGACGACTGACGATACGGGCCTTAGCAGCTCAAGAACTCTACAAACTTCGCGAAACAAATCAAACTTATATAGAAATTTCCACACTAGTTATATATCATAAGTACCTACTGGAAAGTAAAAAATACTTTTTCAAACAGAAAAAGGGTGTACGAAGCTTTAATTTGGAAGCTTGACATAAAGGAGCTCATTATGTTTTAAATATTCACTCCACCCATTTCCATTTGTAATAACAATAATAAGGTTGTCTTTCAGAGTTTCCGACCATTTTATACCCAAAAAGAATTTTGGATGAGTCAAAATTAGTTAAAAAAGGACCGGTCGTTTTTATACATGCTTTCCGTAGTAAGAACATGTTATAGGACAGCTCTGAAAACAGGGCGATCAAAAAAAATGACGCGAAGTGGGTTCACTCTGCACTTTCCACGCAACGCCTTTCTCAGTACATAAAGGAATATGTTCAGCACAAACTAGGCCCTCTGAGAAAACAGGCAGCCAAACAGGTTCATACAATTAGTCCATAGTCACTCCTTCCCCGCTCTATCGAGCAGACGTGGCACCGTAGTGCGGCCAGAACATAAAAAACACTATGCTGTTGCTAGGCAGAAAATTGTCATAAGCCGTTCTCAACCCCCCTAAAACCACCCACCCTAAGTTTTTTTAGCTCTGAAATTTTTTTCAAAAAACAAAGTTTGAACGATTTTTACTTTTTTATTTTTGGCCTTTTCCTCGCCGTCTCTGGACCTTGGTATAGTAGTAACATTATGTAAGAATTTCATCGAAATCCGAGCAGCACTTCTCAAGTTATAGGCGGTTATAAGACTAACGGACAGACAGACAGATATGAGTGACATGGTGTTTCGCGATGGCATATAATATCCAAAAAAACTTAATATTTTCGTGCTTGTCAGTAGTCAGGGGAAGTAATAGTAGGATGACTTCCAAGGCATATGGTACCTTCATTAATAATAATACGTTTCCTTCATATCCCAACTATGGTCGTTGGACTCCCTACCTTCCTTCTGCAAACTAAACAGAACACTGGAATAGCTTTCTGTCAATCATATATGCTAACAACCTTATAAGTCCTTGAACCTCTATCTGTATATGTTTCCTAGAAAGGATTCGGTAATACTTGGGATAACAGAAATCTACTGAGGCGACTCGCATTAGACCCAATTCTCCAAATGGCCCCTATGCTACAATAACCTACTCACCCACAGCGCCATGTTGACTTGAGAGACAGTGAGGGAGAGGTTCATCAGACTGTAAGTATCGGGGCCAGCTGTATATTTATGACCACTTGGGAACGGTTGGCATCAGCGAGGGGAGGATGGGGGGTTCTGTGTGCTCGGTTATACACAAAACTCATCACTCAAGGTCAGATGAATACCGGAGAGATAGGGGAAGATTTATTGGGTTTTATGGATTGGAGTCGGAACGGAACGATTATTAGCAATTGGAGAGAAGTGTCATAAAGTCCTTGCATAAAATTCCACATCCAACAAATGGAAGACTGACAGAGCTATATGTAGCTATATGGAGGGTTCGATCAAACAAATATGATAAAACTCTGCACTTCGCACGCATTTCCGTCATCAAAGGATTAAGTTTAGCCCTAGTAAAACCCTCTGAGTAAAAAATTAGTTACGAACGTCTACAGTAGGAAAATTAAACGGATCAAGTCAGTCAAGCAGACCAATACAGTTTGCCCATAGACAATCTTTCCCTGCCCTACTGATAGTCGACGTCCATCTGGCAACGTCGCCCCTTACCGTATCGTTAAGCTCACCTTTCACGAGCCAACCCCGCAAAAGGATTTTGTCGAATGCGATTGCTATACGACTTTGTCGAAAATTGGGACACACATATAACGATCTTGCAGTGTTTTGATTTGAAACATGGTCGATGAAAATCTAGCTTTAGCGGCTCTTGCATTTTGTATTACTAAAATTAAAAAGAAAAATCAGAAACGTAGATGGTGGTCTAAAAATTGGTTACTTAAACGGCATACGGCGATTTTATTTTCCAAAGGCATTCTTTCTCTCTATATAACTAAAAAATTCTCTTAAAAAATCCTCATTGTAAGCCTTTTCTACAAATATGCGTGGACCGAGAAATATTATTAAAATGTGCCAAATTAAGGGCTGATTTCACCAACATTAATATTATGGACCAATGGGAAAATACCTTATCGAAATGCAATTTGACAGAAGCTGTCAAAGGTCTCTGAATATTAGTGATTTCTATTGAAATATTGTATAAAATCATGAACATTCGACTGTATTATAAACAAGACCACTTATTGATTCCAACATGATGCTTTTGTACAGAAAAAAACAGGACAACTTTCATATATTTTGATATATGTTATAGGTTTACATTTAACAATCCGTTATCCCCTCAGCGAATGGGAACGCGTCAAATAGTAGGTCGATTTTCTACCTGTTAAATTTGGCAGCAGATTTGGACGTTTGTTAATGCATGGCACTCTCGAATTTACCAGCTTCAATATACTGAATGCTATCATTACATACCTGTTGAATAGTGTGGATTTGTCTGTATTTTGCAAGAAAATAGAATATAAAATACATTCCATCCAATTCCTCATCCTCCTTTACGTCATAATAGTAATCATTTATTAATTTATGGGTTAATGAATTCCTTCAAAGCAATAAAAACTTTATGTCCCCTCCATCCTAAAACACAGATAATATATGTAAGACGTGTCAACCTCTACATCTCCCTGATGCATAATGCAATTACTATGCACATAGAACAAAAATTATGAAAATGTTTCACAAATAATGTCCTTTTAAGTCCAAAAATCATCAAAACTAGTGATGTTTATTGTTTGTGTTTTGACTGGCGGTCGTTGACT